GCTCAGGCAGACTGGAGCGATGAGGATGACCATGCAATCCGTCACCTCCAGCTTCTGAATCACTCTGTCCAGTGAGACCATGTTGGAATGCGTATGAGAAGAGACACGTCCAGTCCATTGAGAGCACTTCGATCTGGAGAGATATCAGGTCTGGTACCCAGGCTGACGTAAACCTGAAGCTGATGATTGATAAATGTCACAAAGAGAGTATACTGACTCTGAGTTGACCAGTCCTTGTCTTTGCCCCTTAATGCTGATCCCAAGACAGGGCAACAAGTACCATCGTCTAACATCTATTGGTATGATGTGTCCGGATATGAACACCCAACCTTCTGCTTTCCAGGAGGACACACAACCACTAGACCACGGAGGCGCTCCTAAAACCCCAAAGACTACTACACACCATAACCTCCATAACTGGTCAGAGTGAACCATTATATAGTAATAATCGGGTAACGATTTTCTGTGCCATTGTAAAAAAGTACCGTATTCGACGTAATAAGCGCCCCGCTCTAATAAGCGCCCACGGCAATATTTGCAAATAAACTGGCAAGTGAACAATCCCAATTAGCAACCCTTTCGATTGTCAATGTACACAAGAATTATTTATTCGCGTATAATATGCATTTGTGTGTTATATGCACCCTTAATTATGGGCAATTAATTCTGGTAAAACGTATCTGTCGTATATAAACATTTCAGGCTGTCAGCATAAACCACGAAAATTATCTTTCAACTTTGTTTTTTTTCACCAAAATAATATTCCAATAAGAGCCCCCCTATTTCTAACTTGAGAGCGCCCTGGGCGCTTAAAACGTCGAATACAGTATCTTTGTGCCAAATGTATATACAGTACGTAAGTGTTAACATGCCCGATCATTCCTTTATCTGTATGATGTTCTAACATAAGTATAAACACTTAAAAGTAGACAGGTGTCAACAATGATAGAGAGATAACTAGCAACAGGTCAGGTTAGAATTAGGTGAGGTGAAATTGGGTTTAACGTCGCGTCCAAGATTATTGCACTTATATAGCGACGTGCATGCACGTGTTTGTGTGTGTGTGGCTGCTTGTACTAGTCCGGACTGATGCCGATTTATAGTGCTAGCTCACTGAGATACCATGCCGCAGTTTAACATGAATACCCCACTCAGACACAGTATACTGACTCCGAGCCGACCAGTCCTTGTTTTAGCCCCTTAATGCCGAGCGCCAGACAGGGTAACAACAAGTACAATCTTTTAACGTCTTTTTGTATGATGCGGCCCGGGATCGAACCCTGGACCTTCCGCTCTCCGGGCGGACGCTCTACCACAAGACCACGGAGGCGGTCTAGGTTAGAATTATATGCTTGGTTACTGTTAATAGTGAATTTAGGGTTTCCATTTATTCAACAGTTTATCATGAGATGAAAGAAATGTTAGTGCAGAAACAGACCAGTATTTAACACTATATGCGTGATGCAATTACTTTACTCAAAACCACACAAAAAGGAACAAGAGTTTGCCACTAACGTGGCTATATCCCCTGCCCCTGTTGCAGAATTTATGACATAATTAAATCTAAACAAACCCTAACCTTTTTTAACCGAGGTGGAACTTGTCATGGAAATTGTAAAAAAAGAAGAGTTTGGAACCTAAGTCCATCTTGCTGCCATGGAAACGTAAAAAAATAAAAATATCTAAAATTTCTAAATAGCAAAAGGCACCAGTTCAGCATGTACCTGACAAACCTGCAAAGTTTGATGAAAAAATATTGAACGGTTTATGAGTTATGATCCGGAAACGAACCCTACCCTCGCAGAAACTAAGTCCATCTTGTTGCCATGGAAACGTAACAAAATAAAAATTTCTGAAATTTCTGAATAGCAAAAGGCACCAGTTCAGCATGTACCTGACAGACCTGCAAAGTTTGATGAAAAAATATTGAACGGTGTATGAGTTATGCTCCGGAAACGAAACGTGACAGACGGACGGATGGAGCCCGTTTCTATCTTTGTTGGGCGGGGGATAAAAATATATAGGGCTCTGTTTTACTATTTATTCCTAATTCTATTACATCAATAATTCATAGATCTATTGTCATAACTATCTTATTCACTGCATGTTTTATATTTACATGGCACAATAAGTTACAATTAGTGCTCGAACAATTGCCAAATACTCTAAAACACTTGATTGCGAACTATTAATGTACACTGAGAAAACATACATTGTAAATGCCAAAAGATGCTTGCCATTTTGAAATGATGTATCTAGGATCGAGCAGAAGATATACTGACAGTAGTGCTGGGAGTCTAACCCAAAAGAACCCTGAAAACAAAACAACTTTATCTCTTTTAACTGACACAGTTAAAGCTCAATTTTCCACTTCTCCTGGAAGCCATTATGAAACAGCTATCTTACACATAACTCTTTGTAGCTTGTATGTTTTATTTAAAAATTACCCATATTTTGTTGGAAAAAGTAGAATTTCCTGATTATGGGAAACATGAACTCCAGCAATCTAATATTGAAAGATGTTATATCCAATCATTTGTGGCATCAGATAAAGTCATGTTCAATTGTATGTGACAAAAAGTTGACATAAAGACACGTTAAGAATTAGGGGCTGCTTCGCAAACTCAAAACAATGGAACAATTGGTCTCAAGTCACCCATCAGAGCAGAGACAAACACATTATGCTCAATGAGGCCTTCAAAAAGAAATTTCCGGATACTGTGTCTTTATGAGTGTTCCGGTGATTGACCAGTTGGGCAGAAAGGATCAATATTCCTAAAACACACTGTGCAGAAACCAAATGTAAAATAAACAGTGCATGAGGCTGTGTAAAACTGCTCGTGAAAGTAACATTTACTTTTTACAATGGAAAAGTTCTGATTTTTGGTCTTTTCTTCAGAGGTAATAAAGTTTGTGTGTTTGTGTGTTTGTTTGTTTGTTGCTTAACACCACACTCATCAATATTCCAGCTATATGACAACAGTCTGTAAATAACCGAGTCTGGATCAGACAATCCAGTGATTGATATCATGTGCATCAATCAACTCAATTGGGATACGATGACATGCATCAACCTTGTCACCGAACATCACCCCTCAATCCACTGAGTCTCCTCTTGCGACCAGCAAAGGTTGACATGAACCAATTCCAGCTCACAATCCCCAAACTTGAAGAATAATTATGAATGTGAATAATTTCATCATCAGAATATTGTTAAGTAAATATCAGACAGCATCACATCATGAATAGGAGATTTTTTCGAGACTAAGGACCAGATCCCCAAAGTCGCCTCTTACGACAAGCATGGCTTGCTGAAGACCAATTCTAACCCAGATCTTCACGTGTTATTTTTTTTCCTCCCCAATGCAAAGACATTACTGTGAACACGGGTATGGTGCTGACAAACACAGAAATATAATCGGGGCAAACCTGGATTTGAACTCATGATAACAGGGACAAAACTCAGTGAATTGAAGTGCCTAGACTACCGTATATGACCGCAGATAAGCCGACCCCGTAGGTGAGCCGAGGTATTAACTTGACCATTGAAATATGAAAGAAAATGATATGACCCGCAGATAAGCCGAACCAGGAAGTGAAAGGCAAAGACACATTGTGAAGTCGGACTGCAAGAATGTGCCGGTACTGGCAGATATTCATTAATATAAGATGAAAAGCGTTGTAATTACATATTGAAAAAGTCATTATAATTTCTATTAAAGATTTAACAAACCAGTCATCCACTCCCCTAATGTGGAAGCTGTTTCTGTTGTCTTTTTTTAATCTCATAATGATTGTTATGTTGCCATCAACAACCAAGCGCCATTTTGTGAATCGGCGTATATAGAATTATGAACCCGTGAGAAAATGTCTCAGCTAGAGCAACGACTCGCAGTTTGAATGCAGCATCATAAGCATGGCGTTTTCGTTTCAAACTCATGATGAGAATGTCAGTCAGTAAAAATATACCAACTTTTATACCCGTATGCAGTAACTCACCAATTTGCTTCAATTTAACATCAAACATTGCCGCCACTGTTGAATGTTAATCCAGTTGAATTAAATAAACTATGAACACATTTAATGACAATTACTTACTCACAGGCTTCTCCACCTGTGCCCTCTCATGATGGAAAGAGGTCACAAAGCAGATGTTTACAAGTTTAGCATCATCAGTGTTCTCTTTGTGTGTATGAGGCTGAAACTGGTATCATTGTGAAACAAGTGGCGTCTCACAAACTTTGTGCTGAACCAGTGATAAGGAATAGAGGGCTCTTATTAGAATATTATTTTGGTGAAAAAAAACAGAGTTGAAAGATAAATTTCGTTGTTTATGCTGACAGCCTGACATGTTTATGTATGACAGATATATTTTTCCAGAATTAAATTCCCCATAATTAAGGGTGCATATAACACACGAGTGTGTATTATATGCGAATAAATAAGTCTTGTGTACATTGATCAATTGAAAGGGGTGCTAATTGGGATTGTTCGCAAGCCAATATATCAGCAAATATCGGCATGGGTGCTTATTAGAGCGGGGCGCTTATTACGTCGAATAGGGTAAATGTTCTTGCATCTCACTCACAGCTTTGGTATATACTTCCCAGGGAGCTGAGAATGAAACTTCAATGATGAGTATGATAATATGTCATGCCTTTAGATAACACTTGTGTGGGTTATGGCACTAAATAACTGTGTAGTTATCATCGTCACTGATCACGGACAGCTAGAAACAGCCAGCCAGTATGTGATCTTCAAACTGAGACATAAAGGACCTGTTTTCAGCAGGGCCAATCAGAGCTCCAGAGAAATCCAGGTATGCTGCCATGTGATAGATTTATGGAAATTCCTGAATCCATTTCTTCACTGAGAAATCATCCAGTATATATACGATAACACTGCTCACAAGTAAATCTGATGACACGCACATGTTCATTTTGAATGTAACAAATGTTAAAAAATGTCCTCAATATTTCAAATGAAAATGTTTGACTTACCACATAGGTAGTCTTGATATCCTCTCGGTATCTCTTCTCAGAACCAGCCTTGACCTGCAGTTGACGTTCACCTTCACCACTTCCCTCGTCACCATCTGGCGTATTGCTGTAACAGAGACAAGACAACATTAACAGATATCTCCTTGAAGAGACACATATCCCCTAAATAAATGACAACACTTTTGAAACAAGTTCAAACCTTTAATTTTCCCATGGAAAATACACTAACTGGCCACCAACAGTAGATATAACGCGCTTTATGTATGAAGTTAATTTTTCAACCATACCACTGAACATTCGCTGAAGACCACACCTTTGACTAAAGATAAGTACTTTGGTCCTCATCAAATGTTGAACAGTATATGCTGCTAGATGCAATGCTATTCAGCAGCCCATGCTTGCCGTAAAAGACGACTATGCTTGTCGTAAGAGGCGACTAACGGGATCAGGTGGTCAGGCTTGCTGACTTGGTTGATGCATGTCATCGTATCCCAATTGCGTAGATCGATGCTCATGATGTCAATCACTGGATTGTCTGGTCCAGACTCGATTATTTACAGACCGCCGCCGTATAGCTGTAATATTGCTGAGTGCAGCATTAAACAACAAATAAACAAACTGTAGCACAAAACTCAGTTGATTATGTGGTGTCATAACTTCTACGTGCATTAAGAATTGTGTGAGCTTGTACAATTTTTGTAGTCTTTTTCCCTTTAACACCTGTTGGGTCAACAGTTACATGTGAAATGAACTTCCTAAGTCCTGGATATCACCAAAATATAAATGTTGATATTCATGTTTGATGTCATATAAAAATCTTAATTCCTTAAGTAAGAGGTAACATACAGGACTGCATATTGCCATCTCACAAAATAAAATTTTCACACTTCAAGTCAGTAAATAACAGTTTCTTTGCCCTGCTTTTACGCTGGGAATGAATAACATCTCTATTGAAGGTAAAACCATAAAGATTATAAATACAAGCAAGATAGCAGCAGATTAAAATAATTCCTGGAAAGCTTTTGATGTTGGTGAGGTGAATTAGGGTTTAATATCTGTTCAAGATTATTGCACTCATATAGCGTCATGCATGCACAGTGTGTGTGTGTGTATGTGTGTGTGTGTGTGTGTGTGTGCTATTTCAGACTTATGCCAGCTTTATAGTGCAATTCAATTGAGATACCATGCTGCAGTTTAACATATTACAACAGCAATGTTTTAACCAGTAGCTCTTAGATAAGCGTGCAAAGTTTCATGTAACCTCAGTAGCTAACTTCCCCTCACTGCAACAGCTACCGTATTTTCTTGAGTATAGTGCGCACCCATGTATAATGCGCACCCCCCTCTAGCGGTTCAATATTTTGGAAAAAAAAGAAATTTGAATATTATGCGCAGAAAAAATTTACACCGTACCCTTTCAGCGAAGTCCGGCAAACGAATGGGTGATGAGAAACTTCGTCAGTACAAATTCGAAATTTGAGATAAAAAATCACCAGACATGTTTATTTACCGTTTAAATAGTATTTATTGTTCTGCTTGGAATTGTTTTATATCTAGGGATTAAGATTACCTTGTGTAACTAAGCCGGAAATAGCAATCAGCTGTACACACGTTTTCTTGGAATCGACAGGTGATTCGGACAAGACACACCCAATGATATAACTTTATAGGATTTTTAATGCAAGGATCGGCAACAATTGTATCTGAAACTAATTTTTTTATCAGGAATAATATATTCCATTATTTTCTTAATTATATGCAGCCTTTACTGAACATATTTAGAATAATAATAACCCTAAGCGAAGCAGCTGATCACTATTCCCGGGTATTATATTTTACATGGAACCAGTCTGACCAGTCACCGTCAAGGCTCACGCGCACGTGATCGCGTGATCGCGAGAATTTCATGTTGACATAGAATCGTCAAACAAAAACAAATATGACTTTTAACGAGTCAAAGTATGTAACTTATGATATATGTATCCATTCTCTGTCAACTAAAGTTCGTTTCAAGGCGTCAATAGCGGTATTCTGACCGTGGTTGCTGTTAATAACGGTGAGTTGTGCGATCTTCCGATCGCTTCACACACGATTTCGCCAAAATTAATAAAAACAATATTAAAAAGAATTTTGAATAAAATTAATGAAATAAGTTACAAACATAAGTCCAGATATACAAAGAACACTTTTTATAGCCAAACAGCGTAATTACATGATTATTTTGCGTACTTCAGTATGAATTTGTTGACATGGTATTTCCGGTGTTTCGTGCTCACGGTAATGTCTTTCCATGGGTGAAAAAAACATCCAAACTCATACTTCGTGTATAATGTGCACCCCCTTCTACACAGCTATGTTTTTTCGAAAAAAAGTGCGTACTATACTCAAGAAAATACGGTATGCACCATGTAAAATAAGATGGATGAAAGGGACTAACTTCAAGAAAAAAATGTTCATGGCTTTAAGCTCAGTCTAGACAAGTATAAGCATGCAACCTTTCATGTAGTTTCCAAGGAAACAGGATGCACAAAATCTAAAATCATGTAGCAAGGGATGAAACTCTGGAACAACATAATTCATGGCACCAGTTTTATAACCCAAGTAACTCTTAGATAAGCTTGCAAATTTTCATTCATGTAGCTTCAGTAGTTTTTGAGAACACTTGTCCTCAATGCAGGACACTATGCACAAAGTGAAAACACAAAAAACAAAAACAAAATATATTTTTAGAAATACCAAAACATCAAAAGGCACCAGTTCAATATATGTATGATACACAATAAAATATTAAACGTTTACCGAGTCATGTCCCGGAATCGAAACATAACGGATGGACGGACAAGGTGAGGTGAAATGGGGTTTAACGTCGCGTCCTAGATTATTGCACTTATATAGTGACGTGCATGGACGTGTTTGTGTGTTTGTGTGGCTGCTTGTACTAGTCCGGACTGATGCCGATTTATAGTGCTAGCTCACTGAGATACCATCCTGCAGTCTAACATGAATACCCCACTCAGACACAGTATACTGACTTCGAGCCGACCAGTCCTTGTTTTAGCCCCTTAATGCTGAGTGCCAGACAGGATAACAACAAGTACCATCTTTTAACGTCTTTTGGTATGATGCGGCCAGGGATCGAACCCCGGACCTTACACTCTCCGGGCGGACATTCTACCACTGGACCACTGAGGCCGTCGACGGATTGACAAACGACAGACGAAAGGTCTGACAGACAGCACCCATTCCTTTAATCCCATCCCATTTCCTCGCGGGGAATAATAATGAAAATATTGAAAATGAATTCCAAATGGTATGAATCCTTCCAAATTTTCCATCTCTCCTGGGTGGTAGTATGAGAGAATTGTGGGTATTTAGAACAAAATATGCAGATCCTCAATAAGGATAATAATTGAAGAGAATTTCTTTTTCAAAATATGACTTTATGGAACTGTCTGTCAATGACTGAAAGGGAGATAACTCTTTTAGCACATCTTGCAACTCCATTATAATGCATAAAAAAAACCTCACACTGCAAGACTGACAAGACCTGCTTAACAAGCATGCAACATATAAAAATACATATTTGAACAAAAAATATCTTCCAAAAGTCCATAAATACAAGTCTGGCCTCAGGCAAGGAGCAGATTGTATTCGAAATTGCCAAACCACCAAGTCGGGATAACCAACATGTGTGTTGCAAACATTGTCAAACAACTCAAGAGAAGAAAATTAATGTCTAATCAACGTTTTTTTGTTTCACAAGGATACATTTATATTGTCTACATAGACAAGTCTGCTCCATATTTTTTTGTATTACCGTTACTGAATGCTTGTTCAAAATGAGGCTGATGCCCTTGAGAAATGGGAATTTCATACTGGAACTCTCAAGGGTCTAACAGGCAGTGATTAGGAAACCTGTTAACAGGCAATGTGTCTTCACTCTGTCATGCCACACATAATTTAACAGCCGTATATCAAAAGGATACAGAAGTGTTTCCTTGAATAAAGGATATGTCTGCTAGATTGCTTTTGTAATCACAATACAATTTCATCTGTGTTCTTCACAATTTTAAAAAGTTAATTTCACGCTGATGAGAAACAAAGCAGCTCATCTTCAAAGATGTAATTGTCAATCTTCAAACTTATCATCTACGTGAAGCCAAGGAATTCATTCTCATAAGAAAAGGTCACTTATTTCTCAAGGCAAATGTTAATGTGAGTAGCCTAATGTTCTTGAACAAGGACATCACTGTATTATAACCTTTTAGTATGACATACCAGTTCAAGTCTTCTCAGATCAGTGCCACTGGGTTCAAGCACCTACTGAATCAGCCAGGTCACAGCTGAGGGTAGGTCTTCCCATATGAATGCCACTGGGTTCAAGCACCTACTGAATTGTCCAGGTCACAGCTGAGAGTAGGTCTTCCCAGATGAATGCCACTGGGCTCAAGCACCTACTGAATTGTCCAGGTCACAGCTGAGAGTAGGTCTTCCCAGATGAATGCCACTGGGCTCAAGCACCTACTGAATTGTCCAGGTCACAGCTGAGAGTAGGTCTTCCCAGATGAATGCCACTGGGCTCAAGCACCTACTGAATTAGCCAGGTCACAGCTGAGAGTAGGTCTTTCCAGATGAATGCCACTGGGTTCAAGCACTTACTGAATTGTCCAGGTCACAGCTGAGGGTAGGTCTTCCCAGATGAATGCCACTGGGTTCAAGCACCTACTGAATCAGCCAGGGCACAGCTGAGGGTAGGTCTTCCCATATGAATGCCACTGGGTTCAAGCACCTACTGAATCAGCCAGGGCACAGCTGAGGGTAGGTCTTCCCATATGAATGCCACTGGGTTCAAGCACCTACTGAATCAGCCAGGGCACAGCTGAGGGTAGGTCTTCCCATATGAATGCCACTGGGTTCAAGCACCTACTGAATCAGCCAGGGCACAGCTGAGGGTAGGTCTTCCCATATGAATGCCACTGGGTTCAAGCACCTACTGAATCAGCCTGGTTACAGCTGAGAGTAGGTCTTTTCAGATGAATGCCACTAGGTTCAAGCACCTGCTGAATCGTCCAGGTCACAGCTGAGGGTAGGTCTTCCTAGATGAAT